TATTGAAATAAAATTTTAAAACCTATACAAAATTTTCTGAAATTTTGTTTGGATAAGCAGAGTAGGCCCTCAGGTTATTATAAAAGGCAGACTTTCAAGCTATTATTTCATTCATTTAGCGTTTTGTGGCAACGTTATATAAAATAGCGTGTATGCGTGCGTGTTTAAATTTTAAATGAAACTCGATGTTGTTTGCACTCAAGTACCTCACATATTTTACAACCTAATCATAACGTTAAAAAACAAAGGCGAAAAAAATTTAATGGCCAGCTTTTATTTGAGCTTTGCTAGGTCAATGTTTATATGTTAGTAAACTTGGACGCCTGATTTTTAAGGTCATAAAGTATGCATTATTCAAATGTGTTATTAGTGCTAGTGCTAAACAGAGAGTAAAAATACTAGAATGGTACATAATAAGTAAATTATTTAAAAATGGTATACGCCTAGCAGTATATGTTTAGTTAATTATTACGCCTGCACAAGCGGATACGGATGCTTCGCGGAGAGACAAAAATGCTGTAGTAATATGTTAAAGTCCCTAAGTTCTGACATGTGTAAGAGGGGTGTGGTATCACGTGCTTTTTGCGTTCACGTGACAAGGAGCATAAAATGTTTGATTTTTCATAATAAATTTAAGTAATATTATAAATTTAATAAGCATAAAAGTGTGATTATCGGTAATAGTATATTAAACACTACCAAAAAAGATATCTATTTTCGTTTATTGTCCACACTCTAAATTTTAGAACACTCCGTTGACAAATATTGTACGTCCTCTGTTTTGTTACAAACCTCACAGTTTGGAGTTACGCTCGCAGTCGAACGCCAGCTTTAGTAGGACCTACACTAACACTTGGATATTAACTATAAACCTACTTACTCAAACACAAGATCTGTTTGTTTACCGTAAGTTTTAACTGTTATAACAAATTGTGGTTTGTGTTTCGTTACCCATACAATGGTTAACTTTACCTGTACGTAAGCTTCTTGAGTATATACCTAAGTAATATGTGTGATTAAGCAGGTAAACAATTGTAGTGCTGAAATTTGAAGATCTCACAATAATAAATAGTATATTGACGTCCTATTTGCTGGGACCTTCCGCGTGAATAGAATCACATACGAAGAACGGAGGTCCGTTATAACCATATTTTCTAAAAATATTCTTAAGCCTGCGAATTGACGAAACATTTTGCAATCAATGATGTTGAGAAATTGCAACTGAACCTATTGTTTTTGCTAAGTTCAGATATAAGTTAATACATTTTCAGCTCATTGTAACAAAATTGAGTAGCCAATCGGGTAAACGACTGAGCAGTGACATCGGCATCGCAAAAATTCCAACGTAAATAATATTAGCTTAATTTAAGCATATCATTCGTATTAGTTAGGTAAGATTCGAACATCCCTGATCACGTGGTGAGATACTTAGGCTTTGTTGGTAAGTAAACAAGCATTTTCTTTTATCCTTCGATTGTTTTTGAGAACAAAATCTCCCTTAATGTATAAGTTTCGGCGCGTTACGCCGCTGGATTAATCCAGTAAACAAGACTTATGTAGTCGTTAACTAAATTTACGGGCAATTATTTTATGGCACATCTGGGCCCTAATAGGATTGCTAGGAGCAGAGGTTTAATGGGTTTCCATGTCGTATTTATTGCGTCTCTCCATTGTCTATGACATTCAAGATCATCAGTTCAATTAAGTGATTAATTAATGATAAACATATATAGTAATACGACATCATATACATTGCTCAGATTTCAAATTAAGTAGGTAGTAAAGTACTTGTAATAATTCCTTATGAATGAAGAATGACGCTGAAACAAATAATATAGAAAAGTTAAGTAATATAGAAAAGCTCCTTTCCACATTGACTCTACCGTGATTCGAACCCAGGACCTCAGAGATGGCGACACCTTGAGCCCAGCGTGCGTGAGAAAGAAAATACAAACGCATAGAATGATGCCACCACTCGACATACTAGACATTTTTCTATAAAAAATTGTAGTTGCGACTACTTGTTTAATTTGGATCTAAATTTTGTATAACCGTTATAAGTTTAGGCTCAGAAAAAAAAGAGAAAAAAGGAATTACAATTTTTAAATATAACTTACCGTTCGATTTTTAGATTATGAGCAAGACCCTGGAGTATTGACGGAGGAGATGGTCGGTGCTTTAGTCGATTGTCATCAGGAGTCGAGTGCACTTGTGTCGATGCGAAGAGCATTCGTGAACGGAGGACATGTATATGCTTTGTAACCGCACATATCTCAAGACATAAAATTTATATTCTTAAAGAAAAATGTTTAATCAACTTAGTCCCTGGCATTCAGAGAGGGGACTTGAATCCATGATCTCTAACCACTAAGGTACCCAGGATCTAACAGGACTGACGAATTTTTCAAGCACTTGTTACTTTTCTACAGAGACTATTTTCATCAATGTTCAGGCAATCTATCCGAACAATCGAAAGATTTTTTTTTACAAATATATAAACATTCGATAAAATGAAAATTTGTTCTAATTATCATATTTGTTATACTGAAAAATATTCTTAATGAAAAATACTTAAAAATCCACTTAGTCCCTGACACTCTGAGATGGGAATCGAACCCATGATCTTTCGCAATCTGGGCGATTGCTCTAACCACTGAGCTACCCAGAACCTAACAGGACTGAAGAATTTTTCAAGCACATGGGTGCTTGTAGTCATGCCTCAAAATTCGATATTGTACTAAGGTTGATAAATGCTGCGTGATACTGAATTCTTGAAGTATAGCGGTGTTTGTACAAAATTCTGTCCGTGACTCCTCCAACATTTTTCTCCAGCACCACATTTCTAGAGCATCTATATTCCATTTTTCGAATTCTCGTAATGGTGGAAAGCTAGTATTATTATAAAGAGTATTCTAGTAAAAGCACTCTAGATATGAGCGTTACGCTTCTTATTTCGAGTCTACAGCTGACATTGTACAATTACTAAAGAGATAAGCGCCTAAACAGTTTTTAATTTTCGATGAGTATAGTAAGTTGTTTTATTAAGAGTTACTAGATTAGACTTCTCTGAAAAAAAATTCCATCACCATGTAACATCTTATACCTATATTTTATATCTTGTTATAAATTACCTTCCGCGTCGATAATGGATTACGTGTTCACAATCGTTATCTTTAATCTTTATCGTGACGAAAATTGGATGAAATAACTTTTATATCAACTGCCCTTTATTATATCGTAACAACCCTTCGACCTTTCGATGACTTCGTAGAATTCAAAAATAAAATAAACGAAAATTAATACAAATCGACAGAGACCTTTTAAATTTTGCGGAACGTTTGGTTATTTTAAGTATATGAACGGAAAAAGTTCCAAATAAAAATGAACTATTAAAATAAAAAAAAAAATTGATAGCGATGTTACATAAAATCAGTGGATTTTGGATCGAAAATGGTTAAACCAAAATAACATGAATAATTAAAATAAAAAAAAAACATTTAAAAAAGAAAGGTTGAAAGAAAAACAGGACAGTATCTTGTGAGTATATCAAGTGTTTTCAAATGCCAGAACATTATAGAACATGATTAAATCCTAACGCGTGTAAGAAAATAAGTTTATTTAGTAAAAAAGTTTGCTTCTATTTTATTCTTCAAATGTAACTGAAACTTCTCAGCAAAGAAATTCTCAGCTTTTCAGCTTTAATAGTATGACAAAGCTAATTCTGCAGATAAAATAATATACAATAGTTTAAGTGCTGTAAACACACCTTGATATTCTTAAAAGTGTTACATTTCAGCAAGTGAAAAAATTTAAATAGAGTTTATGAACTTGGAAATGAGGAAATTGAGAATAATTCTAAGAGGATTCTTTGCAATATTTCTTTAAATGGGTTTATTCTGATACTAACATTATAAAAATAAAGAAGTAATATGATTTTGAATAAAGTCGGAAAAAATAAACTTAAAATAGATTTATGTTCCTGTCAAGGATGGAAAAAAAATTGGAACGTTTACTATATGATTTTCAGTTTGTTACTAAGTAGTAAAAATTAATACTAAACTTATAGGTTAAGTCATATCACTTACGTGCGTACGAAAAGGGCAGTCCATCAGACCACCTAAACTCCCCCTCATGGACAGCATCAGTTGCTCCGATCCAGTAGACGTCATCTACCCCAGAACCGGGCCTGCAAACCGTGTATTAATAAGACGATTTTTCTAGTCAGTCTAATGCCCTATTAATAGGTTGTAGCTAAAAAATGCTAGATAATTCATTTATTAGAGATATTTATCAGTAGAGCTTTGTGAAAGTAAAATTGATCAAATGTAATACTGGAAAATGCTTTTATTGCGTTCTTTTTGTTATATAATATTTTTAATTTCGAGTTTCGATGGCATAGTGGTTAGCACGTTCAGTTAGCGATACGACTATTCAGCAACTTTCATAGTGGCCGGTCATAGGATGGGTGACTAAAGCTGTTGGTGTCCTGTACCTGCAGTCGTTAACACCTACTTCATCTATAGAGAAGGTCTAAGCCCCAGTAGTGGGCACATTTATAGGCTGGTGATGATGGTGAGTTGCACTATGGAGGCGTGTGATTCACGCTTCCAAAGTATGTTATTCATTAAATTATTTTATTTGTTTGTGTATGAAATATTTATGAGGAACTTAAAAATTATCAGCTGTCTGATAACTTGGTCTTTGTCAAATTTTGAATAATGTCATCGGGGTTCCGATTGATCGGTACTATGCTTAGTACCGATCTATCTATCTAACACATGCCAAACGTGACCATCAATATCTGTTTGATATTTATTCTTGTGTTATGTTTAGTACATAGCATAGTTTATGTGTATCTGTAGAAATGTACCTTTGGAGAACTTGTGATCCACGTAAGAGATGATCAATAAAATTAAGTCACTTTCATAGAAAATATATGAAGCTTGTTGTAGATCAAGTGAAATTGAAATAATTGATACGTATTATATATTTTGAAGTACTTACGCGTGTATTAACATTTTGTCCATTATCTGTTGTTGTCTATCTGTGAGAATGCTTGCAAGATGTCCTCCTAGTCGAACACATTCAGCTTCCGCTTGTCTCCATGCCCTCTTGGTTTCTCTCACAGCAGTTATACAAAAATCACCAGACAAGACCCAACCGTAATCACAGTGTCCGACCACCTCCTTAATAGGTTTATCCATCCACCACAACTTCAACCACATCGCAGAAGAATTCTTCTTAGCTAAGATACTTATATTCAGACGGACAGAGTTTCCTTCGGATATGATTTGTACGCTCCTTAAGGGATCGCCTGGCTGCGAACAGTGCTTCCATCTAGAATCCCCATCTTCTAATGCCAGTTCCATTCCTTTACATAAAGCGAGTACGTCCTCGTGAATTATATTAGATATATCATTTTCTTTAACCCACATTGGTCCCGTTCCCATTTGGAGTCGTAGAGCTACACGATTTCCGTAAGGCAAGTGAATTTTGTAGGAGCATAAGAGTTTGATGGAAGGTCCGACTTCGAACGAGCCGTTTCTAGCCGTCAGTAGAACGTCATGGCAGTGGTCTACTAGACGGTAGGTCGCGGCGAACGTGGGTCGGCCGTGGAGCTCAAGAGTGGGGTTTTTTGAGGTAGATGAGTACATGAACCTTTTGTTCGGATAAGGAATTTGCTCAAGTTTCCCACACAGCGGGGGTGTGTTCGGCGCGAATCGTATAAATCCTGCTGCGCAGGGAACGTTAAGTTTGTGGAGTTCGATGAGCATTGCGTTTTTTGATGAAGGTTGGGGTACGAGAAGACGGCAACCGTGCGTCCTTGGAAGGTGTCCCGAATGAACTCTTCCATTTCGGACGGCCCGCAGTCGTATCGCACATTCTGCAACAATGAAAGCAATATCGTGAGCCATATTATAGTTATGAGTTTCAATATTTATAAGTTACGTTTAATGCAGTAATAAATGAAAGGCTTTAGTGCGATATAACTTTGTAATTTTAGTGGTAGCATGAAGCTTCAAAGTATACAGGCAATGTTTGCGATACCTTCACAGGATTAAATATAAATCAGGCACGTGTGTTGTGTCAGAAACAATGTATGCGGCAGTATTCTCTATTCACACGATAAATAAAATAGCATAGGTTGTAAACCATAAGCTTTATAGATAATAGTAAATAAGAATAGCCTTCATGAACTCATTTTCAACAGACTTCAAAAAGAGGTTATCGATTTGACCTGTACGATGTAATTTCGCTAGAATGATGTAATATTCATGTATCTGTATGGATATATATAGTATGACCGCGTATTTCTTGCAAACCAGACATCAAATTGCAAATATTCTTTTTCCCTTGTCTATAGTCGAGTAAAAGTAATTACTCAAGCGAATATTCTTAACAAATAAACAAAATATTGAATCAAGTAAGAACTGTTATGGTAAGAACGCTATCACTATTAACTTTTGCTCATCTATTGGTTAAAAATATATAAATTATGCCATTTTCTCAAGTAATTACTTCTCTTAACTATAAGAGTGTTAAATTTTGTTTGATTCAGCTTTGAACTAAGGGAACACAATGAATTTTATCAAAATGGGTTAGGTAATTTTTAAGATACAAACTATTAGAATTTATCCGACTTATAAAAAAGTAGTAAAAATAAATGATCTTCTTTTTAACCGACTTCAAAAAAAGGAGACCATCAAATTTAATGCCATTTATTTTTGTAATAGATAATTAGTTTTTTAAACAATTTACAGCGCATTAGATATACAAATTACTTATTGTCTGATTATTTTTTTAATGCGATGGAAGTAGAGCACATAATTGATTTAAATTATGTGATTTTAGGTATGAAATAGTATGGATGGTTATTATACATTGAACATTTATCAACATATAAAATAACCAACCCTTTTACATATTCCATCAAAACAACAATGATATGACACTTCTTGCGGAAAGGTTGCAGTCACTAACGACTTTTGCATTACATATAAAACGAGGTCAGACTCAAACGTGTGAGCCAATTCCCAAAAAAAAAACATTCGTCATTCGTCCATTAAGACACGATACATTTAAACACATTTGCCTAAATTTTATGCCCACAATAACTGTTGAAGAAAGTGATAAATCACGGTGACGAATGCCGTTGAGCATTCGTCGGGTTCTAATTTCGAATTATTTTTCAGCTTCCAAGGGTTGTTTTGAAAATGGAACGATATTATTATTCAATGAAAATTAACACCAGACAGGGATTTGCCGTGTAACTGTAAGATAATTCAATGAAATAATATAGTGCTTCAGCCATTAACAAAAATTATTCTGTGAATTTAGCGCAGGAGTATGAACCGGTCATTTCTATCGGGTGTACATCTCTGTTTACCTGTATCTTTCGATAGGTTTAAGAACTCCAAAGAAGATTAAAAACGTTTAAGTATTAAGATCGCTTTGCCTTAGATGAAATGATTAATTTTGCTGCCGTGTTTAAAGTCGCTAACTTCAAACTTTAACATATAAAACCCTACTTAAGATTTCGCAGTATACTTAAGTTCCTTCGCTTGTCCCGATCGATGAAACATATAACTACAACTTTAGAAAATTTACCTTATGATAAATTCGCGCCAAAAGTTCATAGTCATATTTTAATCTTTACATACCCTGGAAAGTTGTACAGTTGCCAAATTGGATGGAAGCCTGTGAGGGTGGATAAGTAACACCTCTTTTAGAGTAAAACGTGACACCGCGTGGCACTGCAGACGTGACAGAACTTGTAAATTCTTTAATAACTACTTAAAATATTCGCTGAATCACTGTGGAAATTCAAGGGTAGTTTATAAACTTCTATACTAATATTATAAAGAGATAAAGTTTCTAACTATGTTTGTGTGTTTGTATTATTTCACTTTAAAAATAATACAAACAGTTCACCTGCGCGGATGACATATTTACGCGAGCGAAGTCGTGAGAAAACGGCTAGTTAATTATTTATTTTTATTTAAAAAACAATCACAATGTATGTACGCGCATAACTTCCGAAAGATTGCATCAAATTGGGCGATTTTTTATTTAAGTGTTATTTTTCACAAGTCTCGACTGAATGAATGATTTTAATTTGTTTATACATTTTATGTCTAGGTATTTTTTATCATCTCCAAAATCAGTCAAATCGGCTCAGCCGTTGTCGAGTTTTAGCGAGACAAACGAACAGAAATTGAGAAGACTTTATGACCCGATGTACTTCGTAATACCTCCTACTGTTTAAACCTTCCTTGGACTGCACACTACCTTTCAAAACCAAAATCAGCTTTAAATTTTAAATCAGCTTTTTTAATAATATTGTATACAAAATGTAATATTATTATGTGACAGGACTTCGTAGGGTGGATGGGTAAAGTAAACTGAATAACTTTTAACCTAGGAGCAACACTGAATTCACGAAAAAATAATCAGCTGTTTCCCATCTGTATTTCCATGAATCATGAAACTCACGAGCACAAAAATATGTTTCCAAACATACCGTACATGTAATATTCATGGAAACTCGTAGAAATTATGTTCCATTATGCGTTGTATGAATCAATGCTATGGGATTGAAACGAACTCGCGTGAGTCACGACTATTCTGTAATACGAAAATATTCATGGTGAAGCGGTTCATATGTAGGTTTCAGGTCCCGTGCTCGAATCCCAGTCGAGTTATAATAGTAAATATTTATTTGCCAAAATATGGTTATACAAGATTTTTTAATCTTAAATGACCAGCTTATTTTGTCGCCAAGACAATGTGCAAATATTAAATGTTAATTCAATCAATGTCCTTATTTTAAAGTAGCCAAGCGAAGCTAATTCAAATATAAAAATGTCGATAAAATCGAAGATAAAAAATACCATTTACATGAGGAAAAGAAACATGACATGATGTTAGTAAATAGTAATGTTACGTTAAACCGCTTCTGCTAATGCCACCCAAGCTTTGCCAAGTAAACCAATCCTTGTTAAGCCAGCCAAGCCTTGCCAAGCCTTGCCAAGCATTGCGGAGCCTAGCCAATTCAGCCAGAGTTAAGCCGAGCGCCCGAGTGCCTACCCTGACTGTAGTGTGTAACGCTTACGGTGGGATACATTATATTAGATTGGGGAAAAAGTCTTTCCGCATATAATATGCATAATTATAATAAAATATTTTTGGCTATATAATTTGTGTCTGACTAATTTTGGAATCATTAAAAAGTTAAAATTTAAAAGGAGATAAAATTTGGGAAATGTATGATTTTCATTCGTTTTACTTACTGCATGTTTGAAATCAAAACTTTCCTTCGTCGAAATCAAAACTTTTTCTTCTTTCAGAATATAATTATCCAAACAGAACTGCAATTTGATACGATATTAATAGCTAATAATTAACCGAGAGGCAGTTAACCACGGTGCTCTCTGCTATATCGATTCCAATCTTACCAATCCAAGCTTCGATCCAAGGCCAAGTTGTGAGTGGCCTTGAATTTTTAAACAGTTTACATAATTAAAGGTTAGAGGGATGCTGCAATACGTGCAATTTCCGATTCAAATTGAAGGTCAAAAGTATATGGCTATTAACGTAACTTACAAATTTTATAAATTTTTATTGTAACTTCAATATTTGTTACAATAGAGAAATTATACATATTTAATCAAACAATCCGCACATATGTCAGATTCCAAGATGGGTAGCTAAAGCCCCCGTAATATGGAGTATCTGAGACACACCCAGACCCGAGACAGTATAGAAAAGTTCATTTTCTATATTGACCAGACCGGAAATCGAACCCGGGATCTCAGAGATAACGATATTTTGAACCAGCGTGCTAACAACTCGACTACGGAGGTCATATCATCATATTCATATTATAGGCGACGACGTGGCCGTTTCTGAGGTCCTGCTTTCGATTCTTGGTCGGCTTGGGCGAGTCTGGGTGTCGTATTATCCTTGTTTCAGATTTATATTATGGTATGACCACTGACCATTCTCAAAATTCCGAAACTGTTATTTGTTTATTGTTATTTTATATATGAAGATTACTGGGAAAGATCTAAAGTATGTTGTTTTCAAACTTTGTTTGTGAGGAACGATTCGGGCGAATCCAAAACAGTCTTGGCCGGCTCTTTCTTAAATTGTGCTTCTTAATTGAAACTGCATTTTAATAAGAATAAAATTAAATTTTGCCTGTTTGTTCCAATAAAATAACCATCAATTTAAAGCAAAAGTTAATTAACATAATAAAATGAAAAGATTTAATTATTTAAAGATCAAAATGATTGTGTTGAATCTTATTACCACTCAGGAGCCGTTTAGAATTCAAAGGGAATACTTTCCGATAAATTAGCTAGCATTTTGCTCTAAGCTTATGCTGCCGTTTTAAAAGTAATGTTCCATTAACTTCTTTGGCATCCATTTAAGCAAATGAACTAGATTAATGATATTAATAATTATGACATTCAAACAGTCGAAAAGTTGTACCGACTTAAAATTTTATATTTGAACAGAATTAACCTAATATATTTCTTTCATTTTTTGTCATAGATATCACTAAAAATATTAAAAATTGAGGTTAACATAACGAAAGTCCTGGAAATATTGTTTATTTGCTCAATATAATAAATTCCAATATAAGATATACATTATTTCATGTTCACAATTCATGAAGAAATCACTGAACTACTACTTACATAAACATATACTTCATCCTTTTTTCGCTGATATAAACATGTCGTCTTAATATTTTAGTGATATTTTGTGAAAAGCATATTTTGTTTTAAATAAGATATCTCATTAAAGAATTTTGAAAATCGATCAACAATTCATGGAAAATTCGGTGAAAATACATATTAAAAAAACATACATCTGGCGTCGAACATTAATCTCCTCTTTTCGATTTTGA